ATGGGGCTTGAGGAACACGCCATGCCTTAAGTGTGTTCTTCATTGGCGTCTTCGATGCAAGCGCACATTTGGTGCATGGACGGACCAGCTGTTCCGCATGTTGGTCCATATGAGGCCAGTCCAAATGACTGCGAGCGAGAGACGTCATGCAGTTGGTTCCGAGATGTTCTTTGTGGGACTTTTTCAAAACCCTGGCTTTTAGCTGTTGTGAAACAACGAAACGATTGGAGAACATAATACAATCGTTACTGGTGGACAGAAAATGTCGTCGCTGGTAGAACAACTGCAATTCTAGTGATGTTTTCGTGGGCCGCTGATTGCGGTGGAACTTGATATCTTGTCTCCACAGAGGATCGTGTTGTGCTGCCTTCCGGACCTCCACAATCCTGACGGAGGGTGCACAGAAAGAATCCATACGTAGACAGTTGACCTCGCACTCAATGAAGATGGGCATAATGACTGTGTTTGCTGCATGACAGATAGCCTTCTTTATTTTGTCGGGAAAAACGTGTGAAATCACGGCGCCATTTCCATAGTTGGAGTCGTCCGCAGCCACGACAATATTCAGGTCAGGATTGAAGTGTTTGAGCAGCAAGTCAGTGCTCAACATGTTCTCACTCCTTCAAAAGCTTGTTTGCGCCCTCGCGACCAGAACAACTTGGAGTCTTTCTTGCGTAGTTGATTCATCGGATGACGAAGGCGGTACATTTCCGGGAGGAACGAGCTGTAGTGACTCATGAGACCCAAGAAAGGGCACAAAGAACTAACGTCCGCTGGTGGTGGCATCTGTTTGATGGCTTCGCTGTTGTCCGGATCTGGGCGAAGGCCGTCTTGGCTGATTATAAACCGGAGATATTTTTCAGACGGCATGCAGAATTTGCACTTCCCTGACGCAGACGAAAAACATAATATTAGATTCGGCTGACACTTCATCCAAATTTGAGCCAATGACAATGAGTTCTTCCAGGTAGGCCACGGCTTCTTCGGTACCCGTCAACATGGTGTCCATGGTTTACTTAAAGATCACAGGAGCAGTCTTAACTCCGAATGGCAGACGGCTGTATTGGAACAGACCACGATGAATGTAAATGGTGAGAAGCTCCCGGGAGGCTACTTCCACTTCGATTTGGTGGTATGTATCGGATAGATTCGGTTTAGCGAATCAAGTTCCTCCATTCAGCTTAGCAGAGGATCTTCTGG